GATCATTAATTATCAGTTTCGCTGCCAGCTTGAACTTAAGGTGAGAGATTTTCCTACTTGCAGGCGCATCCACAAAGGCTGCTACTATTACCACTCTCGGGTTTGGGAAAAACCTCAATGGGAGTGTTTGGAAACCAAGCCACACAGTAAACCTCAGGAATGTTACACTGAGAGCCAGAATCGGGGAATCAGAGATTCCTCTCATTATGATTTGGTCACGATCCAGTGGAAGATGGAGAAACCACTGACTTCATGCTAAGGTGTGGCCTTGGAAGCAGCTTAGCCACTTAGTAGTTGTTGACCTTGGCCAAGTTAGGCCCTCTGAGCTTCAGAATCCTCTTCCATAAAACTGACAAAATGACCCCTATTTCATAAAGTCTTCCTGAGAGTTCTATTAGGTAGCATATGTAAAGCACCTACCCTTCTACGGTAAGGAGCTTAAAAACTAGAAGATAACGTCATCTCTTGTTTCACTTCTTCCGATTGTCACTGTCATCATTATTATTAGCAAATATTATCTTTGTATTTCATCTTCCCATCTAGAAAATGGAGATGTGGTCATGACGAGTGAATGTGACGAGGGCTGTGCAAGTGATTTATAAGTTGTGCAGCTCCCTAAAGATGTGTAGTTATGGTATTTTCATTATTTCTTTTATAAAGTAGTTTTCAAGAAAACTCTAAGGAGATGTTCATAATGAAGCCCAAAGGCTGCAGGCAGTTTTGAGCGGGGTATGTGAAGACAGAGTCAATATTAGCCCAACAGTAGTGTCTGGTCCAACAGATAAGGAAAGAAAACTCTATTTGGCAAAGTAGGTGATGAATGCGCATCAAATCATCTTTGGGAGAGAGGCTGGTCCCTCAAGGGTAGGTGATGGGAATGGGAAGAGAGTCTCTGCATTTTTGACAAGTAAGAAATTAGCTTTGGCTCCTTGGTTTGGGATCTGGAGAGTTGTGATGGCTTCTCCGCCCCTTCTCTTCCTGTCTGACTTTAACACAAAGCCTGGCTTTGTCACACGGGACAACCTGCTTCTCTCACATGTTCTTGCTTCCCTACTGGATGGAGGAAGGAAAACAAAAGAGCAGCCAAAGGAAGATGCTCGAGCCAGTCTGATACTTCCGCTGCTCTCCTCGGAGTCAGAATGGATACAATGGGAACTCTTGATTCTCTCACAGTTGCTCAGGCTCTTAGGAAATACTTTCCTTATCATCTTAGAACAAGTTTAGACTGTTAAAAAAAAAGTCAACTTTGCTCTTAATTGCTTGAAATTCTTGTCTTCAAGGTTTTCTGACATACTAGAGCAACGGTTCTCAACCTGTTGGCCGCGACCCACAGGAACTGTATTAAAGGGTTGCAGCATTAGGAAGGTTGACAGCCACTGTACTAGAGGCTACAACGTAGGATCAGCAGAAATCTTACCAAATAATAAGTTCAAAATTTTTCCCATAAGCTGATGTGTTCCAAGAAATCTACTGAGACCCATAAAATATTCTTTGTTTGGGATCCAGAGGGTGTCCAGGCGATTATCATCTTGAGATGGATAATACAGGCGCAAGAAGGTGCCCTGTGGAGGAAAGAAATTAATGCACTTTTAGTAAAGTTTCCTCTTAAACATATTCCAGAAGCTGCTTTGCATATTTTAATAAAAATAGTTTATAAGTGAATTAATTGGACCAAAGTAAAGAAGTGAAGAAGGACTATCCTAGCAAATGACTTCATACAAAGCAATAGAAACAGCAAACAGAATTATTCCCAAGTGAGGGCAAGGTCACATTCCAACACCTTCTAGTGTAGCAGTTCTCAACCTGTGGGTTGTGACACTGTATTAAAGGGTCACAGCATTGGGAAGGTTGAGAACCACTGTTCTAGGGGGACATAGCAACAGTCCATAGTAGACCTTAAGAATAAGTTGTATTGATCAAAGCTTTACCTCTTTAGTGTGATCAAACATCAAGTCGGTACAACCAACAGAATAAGACCCATCTCCTTTGGGGATTTGACTTTGGCAATAGTTGGCTGTAGCCATCAAGGCTTGTGTTTTATTGATCCATGCTGAAAAACAGTAAAAATATTCTCTCATTTGTCATCCATCACACCCCAGACTTTGTGATGCAAAGGAATTCCAAGGGATTCAAGTTACTGCCCATCATTCCTGGCCTCCTTCATTTCTAAATCTAACTAGAAAAATACAAAAATACTTCCTGAGGGCCTGCTGAGTGCAAAGGATTGTGGGGGGAGGGGACTGGAAGGTAAAGAGCTAGAGGCAGAGTAGCCCTTTTTTCGAGAAGCTTAGGACTATTGCCTCCTAGTCCTGACAGCCTTGCCCTCAACTTCTACCTAGGGTACTAAAGATGACTTCCCAAATCTGTCTTTTCCAAACATAAACTTTATCTCACGTTTCAGATTTATATTAACAACTTCTTATTGGACATTTCTGCCTGATGTCCCTCCCGTAGAAACGTCAAAGCCAAAGTTCTAAACTAAAGGTAAATGGCCACTTCCGAACGCTCCCTCCTCATCCTCCATCCACACAGCCTACAACTCCAGAAACCCCCATCTCCTGGGTCCCACGCCAGACACCTGGGCATTATTCTACTCTCCTACCTTGCTCACGATTCCCTACCTTCAACCAAGTCTCAATTTCTAATGTTTGTTTTTAGCTGAGAATTATCTCCCCGATTTATCTCTGACCCTATAGCTCAAATGTCTCATTTTTGAGACTTTCTGTTGCTTGACCAGGCAGTTGCTGCCTCTCCTAAGTGTCCTTTCTACTTTGGTTCTTGGCCCCTTCAAACACATCCGTGACACAGCTCCTCCTGTGACTGAAAGCACACATCTCACTGGGAAATTCACAAAATCCTTCAATGGCTTCCTATCACCACCTGGTTTTTCTTGAAGGAGGATGTGTTGGAATCTTCATGGAGGGCAGTTTGTAGGGGACAGTTAAGCCTACACTTGGCTTCCTAAGCAAACACTCTGCTACTTGAGGCACAAATGCGGCCTATCCCTCTAGTGTCCTGGGGATGGAAACATGTTGAGGTTCAGAGGTGTGCAAGTTAAATCCCAAATTCCTGGGCACTGTAGGAAAGACCTCCCATGACCAGGGGACCCACTGTCTCAGACTTTCTCTGCCCCTTCCCCTGCAGGGATCCCCCTTCCTGTGCTGCAACATTCCTGAGCTCCCATGGGGCTGTGTGATGCTTCTTCACCTTTGTAACTGCTGCTGCTTGTGCTTAGAATCCCCTTGGCCAACTACTATTCAACCTGTAACACCTTGATAGAACGCTTGTCTTCTCTGAAGCCTTCCCCGATTCCCCAGATAAATGTAATTGTTTCATCCTCAGTAGCACACGGATTCCCTATATATAAATTTTAATTATTCTTCTTATGACATTATATTAAAATTATGTGTCCGCATGCTGCCTCCTACACTAGGCTATTTCTTAAAAGCTGTCTTTTTACCCTCCAGTCTTTACAGAGTGTTTCGCACCTGGTCAGTGCTCAATAAATATTTGTGAAAATGAGCTGAAGTAAAGTGAACTGCCC